CCCCAAAACCCCAAAACCCCGCTAGCTAAAATTATTTATGAAGAGAGAATAGAATAGAAATTAAATGATTCATGGATTTTACTGGTAATTAAAATTGAATCTTAAATTTAGTCATTATTATTAAAGAAAGCGAATGAATACAAGATCTAGTGAAGATATACTAAGACCAGAGTCTACCGGACTAAGAAAGACTACTCAGGCTTACAACAAGTCTAAGCTAGGATTCCTAGCATTTGCTGGCTCCTTGGGCGGTATCTGCCTTGGCTATAATACCTGCATCATTGCAAGTGCTCTTATCTTTATCGAAAAAGATTTCCCCACAATCACAAATACTGTTAGACAAGTAAGTTAGTATATCTAAGCTGGAAAATTGATTAATATTTTACTGTTTAGTTATTTGTGAGCTTAACTATCGCTTGTGCTGCTATTGGGGCTATTTTCGGTGGTATCCTAGCCGATAGAATTGGCAGGAAAACTACAATTATAGTTTCAGATTTATTTTTGATTCTTGGGCCTGGCATACTTTGGTCAACAGGCACCCTTAAGTATCTTTTGCTAGGAAGGGTGCTTATTGGATTCGGCCTTGGAATATCTGCTCTAGTCTCGACTATCTTTCTGTCAGAAACGGCACCCTCTCGTATTCGTGGAGCAGTCGTTGGAATGTACCAGGTTATGATAGCTCTGGGTGTATTCTTTGCATTCGGGGCTTCCTTACTAGCCTTCAAGTGGAAGTTAATGGTGGGTTTGGGTCTCTTCCCAGCAGCACTCCAATTTCTTCTTGTAGGATTCTTTCTTCAAGAGACGCCTTACTTCTTGCAGCATTAAAAAGAAGATATTCTGGCTGAGCATCATATGAGAGAGTATTATAATACAGGCAGCGACCGGGGCTCTTAAGAATTCTACTTTGACGTTGGTGCCTTAAGACAGTTCTAGAATGAAGAGGGAAATATTATCAAAAGCTATTCCGAGATATTCTCTAAATATAGACGAAACCTTAACATTGGTTGCATGCTTCATATTCTACAATAGTTAAGTGGAATTAACATAATACTCTACTATGGCCCACAAATTTTAAGAGATGCGGGATTTGGTAATAACTAAGATTCAAGAGTATTTTTTGGATTCCTCTTCCTTGGACTAATTTACTTATTGAGTTCAATATTTGCTTTATTTAAGATTGATACAGTCGGAAGAAGAGAGCTGATGCTTAGATGCCTACCATTTATTGTTATATCAATGCTATTGGTCACAACTTCTATGTTCCTTAGACACTACTTTGATTACTGGAAATGTAATTCTAATTCCTAAATATATATATTATAGTAAGTGGACTTACAAGTTTCTTTGGAGCTGTTGTATTCCTGATGTTCTATTCAAATGGCTTCTAGATTTAGCCTTGGCTAATCGCTAGTGAAATTTTCCCAGTATTTAAATATTTTGAATTTATATCTATAGGTGCACATCAAAGGATAAGCAAATGGCTTGATATCATTTGTGAATTGGAGCTTTAACTTCCTTTTGACATCTCTATTCTTTGCTATGACTTTAAGTGATCTGGGCAAAGTAATTACATACTCGGTTTTAGCAGTGATTAATCTTTTTTCAATTTGGTTTGCTTATAACTATGTGGGTGAGACTAAGGGACTCATTATAAGCGAGTGCATTAAATTGTATCAACATTATAGTGGTTCAGAAACGTTCAAGCACAGTAAAGAAGCCATTACTAGAATGCTTGATAATGCTTCTCAAAATTAGTAGCATCCTCATTTTATCCACAATTAAGTTTGAGGATAACTATGAACAGAGATTTTTTTGTAGAAATTAAGTCATTCTACTTCAAGGGATTAATGTAAAATATACAAGAAAAAATAAATATAAAAAAAAACAAATTTGATTTCACAACTTTTAATTTTAGCTTTACTTAAATATTCAATAATCATGGGGTTTTGGGGTTTTGGGG